GTTGAACTAAAACGAGGCGGGCACCACTTCTAAGGTTCTAAGATAGTCGCAGGAAGACCCCTAAGGCTAGATCCTAACTCCTACGAGGAATACTAGACCTCACGAAAATTGAGGTCAACAAACCACTGTAACTTACTGATAAGTCAATTCTGTAGATTTTTATTTCATAGTTATCCTGATAGAGTAAGTATCCATCCTCCTTTGACACAACCTCAGCTGGAGCTGCATATCTCACAAAAAAACTCTTTAAGCCATTGAGTATGTAATTTACCTCTTTCACTTCTCGTACTCGACTAGGTGCATCTGATAAATAAATTTGTCTGGAGGTACTAACTCTAGAATAAAATCTGTGGCATGCTAGACAAATATCAACAGCAATCACTCAGGAGGGGCAGTTTCTTATCTGGAAGAACATGGATCCTGTTGTAGAATATTCTTACCCACAAAGCTCCTAACGTGATTTCCAACATTGTGATTCATCCCCCCCTCCCCCCCGTCTGACAATCTGTCGGTGGGAAACTTTTGAACTGAATTCAATACTCTATATATGGTTTTTCAAAAGTAACTCAAAAGCTTCTTATATATGGCATGTTGGACCTCCCTCGCTGAGGACAACTCAGGAAGTAGGCTATATATCTAAAAATTCTGAAATTCTCTTATTTACAATTGTCATGTGTCTAGTGTGGTTTCTTGAACTCATGACCCTCCTTGACAACCAATGTTAATCCAATTGGAATCTCTCATGGGCTCAGCTTGAATGACTTGCATCTCTCTCTCATCAGTTGGAAGTTGGTACTCCTCCTTTGGATCATCTCCTTCAGTGTCTTGTGTCATCGTCTATTTCTTCAACTGCTCCCTCCTCGGTGGAAAAGATCGTATACTTGTTTGGGCAAACAAATGCATTGTGCCCAAAATTGCGGCACTTGATGCATTTTTTGATTAATGGTACACTATTGAACCAAATTTAATACCCAAATGACTCTATATAATATTCCATAAGTAGCTCAAAAGCTTCTCATTTCTAGCATGTTGTACCTACCTCAGTAAGGCAACTTAGGAAGTAGGCTATATATCTAAAATTTGTAAATTCTCTTATCCATAATTATCATGTGTCTTGTGTCAATTTCTCAAACTCATGACCCTCTTCGACAATTAATGTTATTCCAATCGGAATCTCATAGGCTCAGCTTGAATGACTTGCATCTATCTCTCATCAGTTGGAAGTTGGTACACCTCCTTGAGGTCCTCTCCTTCAGTGTCTAATGTATCAACAACTATTTCTTCAACTGCTCCATGCTCGGTGAAAGAGACCATACTCTTGTTTAGGCAAACTAATGCATTGTGTTCAAAACTGTGGCATTTGACACACTTTCTGACTGGGATAGATTTGGAAATGCTAGTTAGCTTCACATGTTCTCCATTCTAAACTAGTTTGTAATCAGGAAGGGTAAACTTAGATGCTCTCAATAGGGTAATACTTCTAGTGCTTGATCATGTATTTGAGCTCTATCGATCAGATATGATGGTCACCAGATATTGTCTCGAGGATGTCATGTCTGTAATGAATTGTTAGATACTCGCTCTACATCACTCGTTTTATCGTGGCCAGATAGCGATTTTATTTTTTTCTTTCCCAACGGCGTAGGTACTTCAAATTTTCCCACCACAACAACACACTCTTCTTTAACTTAGTGTTGACTAGCTTTACCATTCTGTTAGTACTCAAAAAAAATTCCACTGCCTGGAACCACTCGATAAACTCATCTGAATTCGTGTAGCCGTCAAAATATGAAGTCACCCTGCACTCCAAAATTCTTGCTTCTCCTCTGATATTCCTTGTCAAATCTCCGGATTATTAGATATTCATCACTAAAAACTGCTTTATTTAAGGGATTCACTTCATCCTTTCGATCTGATGAATCACCGTTGTGGTTGCAAGTGACCATTTCGGATTACCACTTCTCAAAGGCGGCAAGCCTCTATTGCAGTTAGAGGATTTCCCTAGAAAGTTCCTAGACATCTCTTTATGGATTTCTCAAAAGTGATATCATGTCATTCCCTCCATATCAAGTATCTGGTGATTGTCACAACGGTGGTGTGGCTAGGGTTTTGACTTAGAGGGGTGGAAGGGTATGTAAGGGTGGTTTAAGTGAACAAGGAAGAGAAAAAAAAAATATTATGGGACGAGAGCTGACGTTGCAACCCTATGATAGAATTAGAATTAGGCTAGCTTTTATATCGAATAACACTGAAGTTAATAAACGATAATAGGGAAAGCAAACATTATTACTTCAATCAAATAAGAAATTATAACCAGATAACTAAAATATGAAATAACAACAAAGACGACACAAAAACTCAACTAGGGACGTATCCCAAAGGAGTGATGGTCGCTTATGCAGGTTCGAGAGTGTTAGGTGAACTGGAAGTGGTGGTAGGTGATTGGTAAGAGTAGGATGTGGTGTTGGGGGGTGGCAATTGCAGCAAGGAGGGGTTTTGTATGGTGGGTGAGAGGCAGCAGCAAGTAAGGCTGGCTAGAAGGCTGCGGGCTGCAGGAAACAGCAAGGGGGAGGGCGGTAGCAGGTAAAGATGGCAAGGACAGCAACACAACAGCAACGAGATATGGTAAGGGATGACTGGTAATGTTGACAGCTGAAAGAAGCAACAAAACAGGGATTGGAACAGTGATGGCAGCAAACACAAAGGGTTGGAATAGTAATGGCTACAAAGATGGAGGGTTGGAATAGGGATGGCTGCAGTGAAGAGAGAGGGGAAGGCAATGGCGGTGGTTGTAGCTGCAAAAAAACAATCGAGAATGGCTATTCAAGGCGGCTGCAGCAATGACGATTGCCGAGGATCAACGTGGGAATGATGCAGAGGAGAGGAAGGATAATCACCACATCGGGAACAAGATACAAACAGAGCACCACTTGACCCTTGAATACAGCCCTAGAAGGAAAAACGTGAGATTGCAGAGGCTGTCTCGAACAAAACTCATGGCAAAGTTGACCTAAAGCATGACAACAACAACCTATAAAAACCTAGGGTAACTTGAGACTGAGCCCCACTCCAGTTGGGAGGCAATCCCATGCAAAGGAAAGATCGACCGCCCTTAGGGCTTCCCTTCTGAACCGGTCAAAGTCTTGATGTTGTTCTCGCATCCGGTCCAAGGCCTACGATTCCTACATCTGGTTCGCGTCTGTCCCCAATAGTGGACGCCCTGCATCAGACCTCAAGGCATGCCTCACATTGAAAAATTATAAACAAGGTTCTCATGTATATTTGAATAGCTAGCAACCTTATAATTCTAATAAAGTAACATTTAGAGCATAGGGTTTTCTGCAAAAGGCTTGCACTAAAATTTCATTCATTGCGAATTAACGTCAAAGCAAAATAATCAATATTTTATAACAAAGCCATGTCACTCTAGCAAAATCATAATCAACCTTTATGCATTTGTTCATACAAAACAAAATTCAAACAAAGAAACAACATTTTAGTTTGTTCTGATATAAGTATTTGAATTAATTGGAAGTCAAATTTGAAATCAAGTCCGAGCATTTGGTTGGTAGAAAGTGAATAAATGTGACTTCCTACACGTAAAATTCATCTTCTTAAAGGTGATTAGTGTAGTGAGTTCCATTATTTAAGCTTGAAAATCACCTCAGTTTCGCTAGTATAGAATAGTGACGGCATATTATACAGTTGATAAGAGAAGGGTCAAAACTTTACTATTGCACATAATTATAATAAAAATTTGAATTTGCAGTAATTGAGTACATGCAAAATAAAAAAAAAAATCTTTGAAATTCAATGCAATAAAATGTGATTCTGGAATATAATTCCAATTAAATCCAAGCGATTATCTATACTCAGGATTAATGTGATGAAAAGAAGCCTCCAGGAAGAAAAACTTCATTTTTTTTCTAAATTAGTCTCAGGGCTCAAACCTTGAAGGTTTCCCACCAAGAAGGAATATCACGATCTACAGTTACATTCGAGCCTCCTCCATTAGCAGCGCTCACAAACTTCTGCAGCGCCACTGACTTGAACTGAACTTGAGTTCCATCCTATATTATTTTGGAAGATTTATATACATAGCACTCAATTCTTATATACTAACACTTAAACTTCAATTTATACACACATACCACCTAACCTATGCATGAAATATTGTATTTCACTTTTTAAAAGTCAAAATGATGTAAAAACAAAGTTTAGATCTTAGATATGTAAATACA